TTATTTGCCTTTGAAACGAGTTTACGTGTAACCTAACCTTTGCTACGACTCTGTTCTGCCAACTAATAACACCCCAATTGAGCATAAAACCAGTATTCAAACTCTTCTCCCCGTTGCTCCTCTATCCAATAAACGTGTTGTTTACCTTGTTTATCAAGAGTTTTAAGATATTCCTTATAACAATCCGTGGTTGTTCCAGGGTTGTCTTGATGGTATTTATAAAAAAATTCTTTATATGCTTCGTATGCATCTTCGACCTCCTTGTCAGTTGCTTCTTGATAGACTCGATCGTATTTCCTAGTAAATTTAAAGAGGCTCAGTGGGTCCACGTCCATTACATCCATGTCTAGATGTTTTTATGATTTAGTGGATGGGTAAAAGAAGAGTCTCCTGTTTATACGTTTTACTCACACAAACACGTGATACTTTATAACCATTTTGTTGAGACGTAACTTGTTAAGATCTTCCCACAAACATGTTACCATTTTGCTTTACCTTTCTTCAAGTTTTTGTTCCTTTTGGTTCATCATAAGTTGAGGTTAAGGTTCGTTTATTGTTATTATTCTTCATTTTTGATAAATCTTATAAGTAATTTTTTCTATATTTAGAGCAATTTTTTCTTTATTTAGAGCAATTTCTTCTTGTTCTTTTTTTAAAATGCTTCTAATAGTGCTGTAATTTTCGGTTCCGTAGTAGACTTAATGTAAATTAGTTTCATATTTATATTCTTTATATAGAGATAGATCTATATGAAATATATTATTATAATAATAATTTCAAAGTAATATTTATCTTAACAAGTTTATATTTAATAATACAGATTTAAAATATAATTAATGAATTCAGACATGAATTATAACTATGTTACTAATACTAATTAAAGCTAAAAAAATCAGTTTCTGTAGCAAATATTTCAGTCTTACTAGTAATTTTAACTTATATGGTTAAATATTCACTTTGTCTGATTTTGTTGTAGCATGTTATATTTAAAAAGATAAATTTTATTTAAGATATAGCTTATAATTATGTGTGAAGTATAAATTGAATTATTTATAATATTGAATGAGATTAAAATTAAAAGATTTTTTAATATCAATACTTATAAATATTATATTAATATAAGACTAGTAGATAAAATAAATAAAAAAAGATTATAATTATGAAAATAAAAGATAAAAATTAAATTATAAATTAAATATTAAAACTATAAATCAAAGATTAAGTATGTTAATTTAATTCTCTTTTAATATTTTTTTAGTTAAAAGATAAAATTAAAATAAAAATATATATAAGTAAGTGCAAAAAGATTTGTATCTTAATATAAAAATTAATATGATCTAGTATAAAAAGATTGGTGTATTAGATAAATTTAATAGATTATTTTTTCAAATAAAATTTTAATTCTGTCTTATTTAATTAAGTTATTAGATATTGAGATTTATTTAAATATAAAAATTTTTATTATATATCTTTTATAAAAAAATTTTACTAATATAAATTTTTTTGAATTATTATTTCTTAAATTTTACTATATAAAATTTGATTAAAATTAATATAAAAATTATATAGTAATTAATTTAATTATTAAATTTTAAATCTTAATATCTTTATAATTATTAATTTTATGAAATTTAGAATATATATTTATTAAATTAGAATAATCTGCTTGTATTAGTTTAAGTTTTAATCTTGTAAATTGATAGTAATAATATTTAAAATATCTTTTTTTAAAAAAATAATTTATTTTAGTTTTTTTAGTAAAGTAATATTTTATTTATTATTAAATTAAAGTATAATAAAATAATTAAAATAGAATAAAAAGTTAATTTAAATTATTTTTTATTTAATATAAAAAAATTATAAAGATTAATTAAAAATTTGAATAATTTTTATTAGAAGTAATTATTAATTTTATATTAATATATCAGTTTTTTATACTGATTTATATTATAAATAATAAAAAAAGTATAATATAAAAAATATAATTTATTTAAATATATTTTATATCAATTAAATATTTATATAAAGTTAATATCAAATTATTAATACAAATATATATTTATTTTATATTAAAAATTAATTTATATATAAAAATATAATTAAATCAAAATTTATATTAATATTATATAATAAAAAATAAATTTTTATAAATTTAAATAAAAATAATAAATTAAAATTTTTTTATAATTATAAAAAACTAATTATATAATTTAATAACTAATACTAATAAAAATCAAAATTTTTATATATTTTTAATATTTTAATAATATTTTAAAAAGAATAAATTATTTTAAACTCTAAATATCTTTTTTTTATAAAATAAGAAATCTTAAATATTTGAAATTGATTTAAAATTATATAAAAATATATTTAATATTATTTATTTATATATTAGAATTATTACTTTAATATAATTTATTATTAAATAATATATATATATAATATATTTTATATTTAAAATATTAATCAAAGTAAAAATTTTTATAAATTGTATACTTAAAATCTTAATTTTAATAATATCAAAATCAATTTTTTATTTATTTTTAAATACTTAGAGTTTTAATAAATATAAATTTTTATAAAATTTAATTTTTTAAATTTTAATACTTAATTTTCTAATATTTTTATTAAAAAATTAATAAATATAAATATTAATTATATTTTTATATAATATTTAATTAATTAATATTTTATAAATATCAAAATTATTTATAAATTTAATTATTTTTATTTATTAAATAAAAAAGTTATAAATTATAAATATATAAAAGTTTACTATATATAAATATTATTATAATTATAGTTAAATTACTTTATAGTTATTATATTTGAAAAAGTAAAATTAAAGAATTAAAGAGAAATCTAATTATAAGAAGATATTATAATTATAATTAATTAATAACTAAAAAACTTAAAAATAATAATTATAAAAAAGTAATTTTAAAGAGTTATAATTATAAAAAGATTTAACTATATATACTATATATCTAAAGAATATATTTTTATTATTATAATAATATTTTATAAATATAATATTTTGATTATAATTATAATAAATTTTAATTTTTTGAAAATTAATTATTAATTTTTACTTTATTTTTAATAAAAATTAACTGTTATTACTTTTTGTCAAAACTAAATTATATTAAATATTAATTATAAAGTAAGATTTGACTGATATAAATTATATTTTAATAAATTTTTATTTATATTAAAAATTAATATACTTTTTTAATTTTTTTAGAAGATAAAATATTAAGATTGCTTAGTAGTTAGTCTGTTTTTGAAATAAGATTTATTTTTTAATAAATTTAAATTATTTAGAAATATTATATACTTATTATAAAATTTATTATAATATAATAATTATGATATCAATTATTAAATAATTACTTATCTATTATAATTTTTAAATCTATAAATATTTATTATACTTATATATGACTTTTTATATAAAATTCTAAACTTATATATGAAGTTATTTTATAAAATTTCATAATTAGATTTATTAAATTATTAAGTTCAAAATTAATAATTTAAGTATTATTTTTATATATTTTTATTTTATATATTAATTTATTAGAGAAAAAATTATTTTGGAATTATTATATTTGTAATTATATTTTTAATTATTACTTAATATTTTGATAAATTTAATTATATTAGAAAAAAAAAATTTAAAAAATTTTTTAGCTTATATTTTAAAAATATTTAATATAAATAAATCTTGAATAAATTTATTCTAAAAATTTGTATATGAATTATTTATCATTATAAATTTATTTATAATATTTAAAACAAGATAATCTTCTATTAAAATTATATCTTATAGTTAAGTCTTATAATAATCAAACTTAAATTATTATACTTAATAAAATAAAATAATTGAATTAACTTATCAAGATCAAAAAGTAATATCAACTTATATAAATAAATTTATATTAATATTAATAAATAGTTAAATTAGCAAATTAAATAATACTATAATATTATAAAATTTATTAAGTAATTATTATAACTAATAATTAATTTTTCTAATTAATAAAGAAAAATAATAATAACAGAAATAATAATAATAATAATTAATATAATATTATTTTTTATATATGTAATTAATTTAATTATATTAAAAAATATTATTTATTTTTAAATAATAATATTTATTAATTTAAAATAATTTAATATTTATAATTAATAATTAATTAGTAAATAATAAATAAATAAAGATAAATAATAATAATAATAATATACAAGTAATTCAAGTCAATTTGCTTTAATTACTATCTTAATTAGTCTTAAATAATAATAATAAACAGTTAAAAAACTAATTAATATGTATTTAAAATATGAAAACATAAAATTAATAGAAAATTTAATAATATTTAAAGCTTATATAAATAAAAATAAGAAATCAAGACTAAATAAAGAAGAAAATAAAGATAAATAATAACAATAATAATAATAATAATAATAAAATATTAAAATAAAAAAAAGTAAAGTTAAATAATAATAATAATAATAATAAGATATTAAAATAAAAGAAGAAAAAAAGAATTAAAAGCACAAAATCAAAATTAAAAAAATATAAAGAAAAAAAGTAATATTATTTTATTTTATTTTTTGTATTTTAGTAAAATTAATAGCATTATTTTTTTATATTTAATAAAGCTAAAATTTTATTATTTTAATTATATAAAATTATGAATTATATTAGATTTTATATATTTTGATAATTATAATTTAATTTTTTTTATTATTTTAAAATAAATTAAATTTTTATAATTTAAATAATTATTATTTAAGTTTATTAGTAAATTAATATAAATAATTATTTTTTTTTGAATTCTTTACTTTTTAATAATATATTTTTTATATAAGATTGATATAAGAGATTTTAAAATTCTAATGAAATTCATTTTGTATAAATAATTTAATTTAGCTCTTGATTCTGATTATATCATAATTTTTTAGTACAATTAACTTCTAAATCAAATATGATAATATAATTAAAATTGTATTTTATTAGTTTATACTTTGTTTTTAATTTTATAAAGTTTAATATATGAAATCTTTAAAATCTTAATAATATCTCTTTTTATATAAATCATTAAATCTAGCTCATGATTTCTATTATATTTACAATTTTTTAACTTTAGAATTAAGTATATATAAAATTCATTATTTTTAGCAATAATAAAAAAATAAATATAGCTTTGTAATTGCATATTAAGATTTAATAGTAACAGTATTCAAGTAATAATTTTTCATTTTTTATAAAAAATAAAGCAAAGTTTTAAGTGAAAATTGTATCAATATTAGTTATGATATTGGTGAAATAATGAAAATCTTCAAAGCAAAGCTGAAATTCAGAAATTGTAAATTATTTGTCTCATATTAATAAAACAATTCATATATATATCTTGTTATAAACCTATATAATAATAGAAATTAATATGAAAAACTTGCTAAAAAAGAATATTTATCATATGAATCTTCTGAAATTTATTCAGAATTAATTAAATTATATTAATTGAAGTTCAAATTTGAATAAAATTGAATTGATTAATTATAAATTATAACAGGATTTTAATTCGAATTTGAATCAACTGAATTTAAATTAGAAAACTGATTCCAAATTGCATTTCTAAATAACATCATTATACATATTTATTTTAATATATTTTCCATATAATTATTCTTTATAAGTTATCTTCTAAATATAAAATCAATATTCAAATTATAAATTATAAATTTAAATTTTTCTTTATACAATACTGCTTTTATAAGATTAGCTTTAAATTCATCACGTCAACTATTAACTGATTAGTAATTAGAACTTTGATTCAGAAAATATATATACTAATTGGTTTGATTAAAACATTATATATATTTTAAGACTTTTAATCAAGTGAAAATAAAATAAATGTATAAATTCCAACTATACCATATCATTACATCAAATGACATCACAGGCCTTAGAAAATCTAAATGATAAAATAGTTAGTTTTTTCAGTAAATTCTAATTCAATTCAATGTTAGTTATTCCCAGCAGAATTTAGTACTGTATAAATAGAATTTTGATTCCTGTTATTTAGTTTAAAAAGAATTATAATAGAAAGGTTGTATTAAGTGAATTTTATTGCACTTTTATTTACTATCGATTATTCGTTTACAAATGTTAGGATACATCTTGATGTAATCATACATTATTTCAATAAGTATTTGTGTACAATATATAACAACGTTATTGACAGTTATTACAAGTAAAGATACCAACACCTATTTGAACACAATTACAACAAAGTTCTCCTATTGCTACTAAGCCCTCTAGGCAAGTGGGACTCCCTCTCCTTTCAAGTATGTCCATAGGTGTTGCGGTAGTTACGGATAATGCGAGAATGATCATAAAAAATGCAAGAAAGTAATTGATGTAATGGAACTTCATTTTTTTCGTGTTAGAGATATGTTTTGAAGAATGAGCCTTGATGATATTTTTTTGTTTTGAGAGATGTATTTTTTGTTTTGAAGACTGTACTTGTTATTTAAAGACTATATTTGTTGTCTTGATCTTTTAACGAGTTGAAAAGAGCGCCTATTTATAAGAATCGTGAAATATCGATTGAAGATATACAGCTCACTTTTATCGTGTGAATTAAAATAAACTCATTTATTAATAGCTCATAATATTTTCGTTGCGTTATCAAGTGAACATCCACTAAATCGTAATAAGAACCGTGAGATATTTACATAATATTCAAAAATTTTTGGTCAAAATTAGTTAAAAATATCCTAAATTAAATAACAAACTATGGCTATTCAAATAAGCGATTGTTAGCTTAGTAGATAAGAAAATAGAATTTATTAAATGACAAAAATAGAAGATAGAAAATTATATCCTTTAATTGCAATACATTAAAGACGAAGAATATATAAATTCTGTTTATAAATTAGATATCCTGATGTTTTGTTAAAGTTCGATTTATCGAATCAAAATGAAAATGTCAGATTAATGTGTAAACTTCAAATTTCAATAAATTATGGATATGCAAGAAGAAAAACCAAATTATTACACAACGAGTGAAAATAAACTTAGTAACCTTTAAAATCGGTACAAAAGTGACTCAACCATTTATTTCTTAATAATTATTATAAGATTTGTATGTTTTATATATAGTCTTACATTTAAATAGATTAATGATCAAAGAAATGCATCATCACTTTTGGAAAGAAATAAATACAAAATCATGATGAATATAAAATTTGTATGTTTTATATTGTCTTACATTTAAATAGATTAATGATCAAAAGAAATGCATCATCACTTTTGGATAGAAATAAATACAAAATCATAAAATTTGTATGTTTTATATTGTCTTACATTCATTTTTGAATAGAAATAAATACAAAATCATGATGAATATAAAATTTGTATGTTAATATTGTCTTACATTTTATATAGATTAACGATCAAAAGAAATGCATCATCACTTTTGGATAGAAATAAATACAAAATCATGATGAATATAAAATTTGTATGTTTATATTGTCTTACATTTATATAGATTAATGATCAAAAGAAATGCATCATCACTCTTGGAAAGAAATAAATACAAAACTCATGATGAATATAATATATTGTGATCTATATCGAGTTTAAAAATGATCAAGTTTCTTCTTTTTTAAATACATTTGATTTGCATTTTTTATTTTTTTATTTGTGTGATGTAAAACTTTTGGCAGCCACTGTATTGTTCGTAATGTAATTACATAGAAAATTATGGACACATAATCTCAAAATTACTACAGTTGCTGAGCTATTGATCGTGAGTTAGTTATTTAATTACTATATTATGAAGATCAAATAGTGGTTCAAATCGTTTGAACCTAACGATATACATGTACCAAAAGTAAATAATTTTTCTCCAAAAAAAGCAGTGATTATATTTGAGGATTTTATCAATTTTATCAATGCCGCCATTCCAATATCAGCTTTAATTTATGTAACAAATCCTTTTTCGATGTCCCTGCAATAATAAGTAAAAATCTTTACTCACTTCATACTCTTTAATGGGAGTTGTGATGCGGATGATCTTTCCAGAATTCTTCGTCTATATGTTAACAATTGCGTTACATAGTTAAGATCATAATAAATGTTTGCGTGACCATGGATTTATAGTTATAGATTTGAAAAGAGAAAGACCATTACTTATACGAGCTGGTGGAATGTGCTTTCGAGGATGCTAGATATTCCCTCTGTCGCCTGTAGTCGCAATTTTTTTTAATCTTAATTTTTATTTACCTTAACACGTTCCTGATGATTCCTTGCTTCACAAGAAAAATTGTAAAACTTTTGCGATAAAAATGTGGAAATCAGAGATAAATTGCATTAATAATCGGTAAGGGGTATATATGATAATCGTTCAATCAATTATAGTAACTAGCAAGTGAAGAGTGAAATCCGGATTGCAAGATATCAATTTGTATTTTTTACTTCTGTATTTCATCTAATAAACATACATGCATACATACATAAGTTTAAAATTAACATGTTATGCTGAAATATTTATGCATTTGCATAGATGAAATTATTAAATTTAATCGACGACTACACTGCGGTTATCATATGATACAAATGGCGAAGTCAATTTTATCAAGTGTTTAATAGAAAAGATAAATAAATACAGAATCATGAAAATCGACTCATTATTTGTGAGTCTCTTTTTGCGAATCTTCCTTGGCTATAGTAGAAATATTCTTCATCACATTCACCTTCTTCTAATTCATCCTCATCAAAATTCTCCTCGATTCGGGACTCAGCTTTTAGAAATCCAATAATAGGCTTGAAATCAACGGTTACAATTTGTGTCAATTTTTATTGATGCATTTGAGACACTTATCTCGAATCGGAGAAATTTGTTTTAGATTCGTTAGCAGACGTGCATTAGTTTTTAGGCACATGTCCATGATCGTTAGCTGCTTTGCATTCTTGCTTCCCAAGACATAATTTGTGATATTTTGGATTTGTGCATAAGAGATTGCATTTGCATTGTTTGAAATTTGTCTGATTTTTTCTACCTGTTTTTGTTTTTTTAGCTTTGAGAATTATATGGCGTAGATTCACAATCCCAGCTAAGAGCTTCGAATTTAATTCTCTTAACAAATTAATGAATTGAGGGTTTGTCACTGTTTTATATAACGATAAGATGCTATATCCAGAAGAGAAAAATTATCAATTATTTACAACATTTTAACGCGACTCTACTGTGGCTGCATTACGATGTGTGCTTTTTACATGTATTTATATAAGAAAATTTTAACCGCGCCAACTCAACTCGGAGTCTGAATTTACAAGTAAATTTTCGAGAGTTAAGTTTTTTCGGCCTACCAAACAATCATTCAAATGGTTCCACTTAACCAAAACTAAAGTGGTCAAAATAAAAAATTGGATTTTAGTTTCTGCCAACAAAATAATAATGTGAATTAATTCTGACAACAAATCAATAGAAAAACTCGGGGTATGGCTTGTTTAAAGTGAAGTTCTTCCACTGCTTGCACAGAAGACAATATTTGAAGATAATCAAGGGAAAATGATGTTTACAAGTAAGATGAACTTTCAGGTTATTTTTATATTTTATTTGATTAGAGCATGTTTGCTGAGAACCAAACTACTTTTCTAATTCTTGAGTTTTGTTAAGCGGATATTATGACAGACGAAGTTTGAGGTTAAACAAATATTAGATGACGCAGGGCTAAAAATAATTGTTAAATACATGTAAATATTAGATTCTGCAAATTTAAAGTTAAGTATTAGATTATGCAAAGTTAAAAATAAATGTTAACTTATGGAGAAGATAATAAATGTCAGATTATTGTTTCAATTCAACGAAATTAAAATCAATAATATAAATTTTGTGAAAAATTGTGGATTTAGTTTCAACGTAACAGTATCGATAAATCTTTCAATATAATCTACAGCAGAGTTGGCCTATTACCTTGATATGACCTTAATTTTATTATATGACTTATGATTAAAGTTATATGAAAAATGCCTAATGATCATGAAATTGGCCAACAGTAATAAATTTTATCTGATGATCTTCACTTTGCTTATTTGAAATTGATGAAAGTTATCATGAAGATCTATTATACCTGTTACTTGTATAAATCAAATTATCATTGATTATATGTATATAGTTTTGAGATAGCAGTGATTTTAATCTTGTTCAGTTTGAAGATAATTATAAGATAGCTTATAATAAAATAAAAGAATTACATCTGGTGGGTTGAAAAGGCAATTTTTAAAGAATGTGACTCTTTCTACTGCTATGGGACCTGGATTAAAAATATTAAATCATTAGTTAATTCCAAAATTTTGTAAAAAAAATCAATCAAGAATATAGTCTATAATAAGTTTTGAGAGTGAAAACTGAATTATTTATAAAGATTAAGGGAATAATGATTATTCTAAAGGTTTCCAAGTGCCAATACTTATGAGTATTGTATTAATACAAGACAAAAATGAAATAAAATAAAAATGGAGTTGTGATCACAAAAACTAAACTAAGAGTAGATATCAAAAATTAAAGTAACAAATACTATACTAAAAACAAAAGATTTAGTATATTGACTAAACTCTCTAATAGTATCTTTTCAACTGTTAGACAAATAAAGGATATATACCAAAATAAAATAAAGCTTTTATACATGAAAAAGCTTATAAGAATCTTCTAAATCAAATAAATATACTTAACTTATTTTAAGTGAAAAGTATCCACTATCTAAATTTTTTAGACAAGAAAAATTTACAAATAAAGAATATAATCTATTACAATGAAAAAGGTAAATAAAAGCAGAAAATCAAGATAAAGATTAAAGAAAAATTACAAGATAAGTATAACTCAAGTATTATTAAAGATAATTGAATTATTACTATTTAATTATATTTATTTCAAGTCTCAGAGCAGAGATATTTATATATCTTTGAGATTTTACAAGTTTCTATCTAAATTTATTTGCTACTCTAGATTATAATTACAAACTTTGAGGTAAAAGATCAATAAATAAATAAGTAAAATAAAGAAATAAGATATATATGACAAGTTATAAAATAATACAAATGATGAAATAAAATGAAAAGATAAGATAAATATTCTAAAAAGAAAAAATAAATTAAATTCATTACTAAACTATTTCTGAAGTATTTCTGAACTATTATTAAATCATTTATAAACTGTTATTAACTTTGAAGTTAATTATTTATTTATGAAATATTATTAAAACATTGTAGAAATATTGTAAAAATATTGTTGAATCATAATAGAACTATAATTAATATATTAATTATATTATTTAAAATTACATATTTTTCAAAGATTTACTGATTAGTTAAATTTTTCAAATTTAAAAAATTATGAAATTAAAAAAATTTATATTACTATAATAATATTTGATTTCTCTAAGTAAGATTGAGCTCTAGTAAGACTAATTAAATTCTCTTCAAAATTTCTTTGATTTCTTCATTCCTTATATATACAAAATTATTATAAGTAATTCATTAAAAGTTATATATCTTTTCAAGTTCATATTTTTCTAATAACTAATGAATTCATTTTTCAAGAAGAAAGTATCTTCTGATTAAATAACTCCTTTAAATTGAGCTAATTCTCTTTATAACTCTATTAATTTTCTTGAATATTATCTAGATATTTCTTTGAATAATTATTCAAAGTAATAATATCTAATAAATTATAATTCATCAGATTGATTATCATAATTTTTAAAAAGATCATTAAATATTATCTGAACTCTTATTTTTTAGCTTTATTCAGATTGAAATTAATAATTAATATTTATTATGATTACTATTCTTGCAATCTCAATATTGATTATATCTATAAATTATTTTACTTTGATACTTTCCTGTGAATTATTTATTGAGATTGAAGTTTCCTTTACTATTGATTCTGATTTTTGAGATCTTTCTAAAGTTATAATAGAATTGAATTATCTTTTAATAATAAGATTATATATTATTTTTTATTACTATTATCAAGTATTAACTGATCTTCATGAATTTGTAAAGTTTTACAAAATTTTTTATCTTTTAATTATTAGTGAAAGATTAAAATATTTTGAAAAAATCAGAATTATTTAAAAGAGTATTCATCTTAAAGAGTTAAATATAAACAAGAAACTAAGCTAATTAATAAGGATATTAAAATAATTAAAAATAATAAAAATATAAAAATATTAAAGTAAAAGTTTTATATTTATAAAATAAAATTTTTAATAAGTGATCAGAATGTATATATATATATATATTACTAAATAAGGTTTGTATAAAATTAAGAGATAAATAAATAAATATCATAAAACTAAAAATTTATTCTTCATTTTCTTCTTTTTTTATTGATATTTCTATATATTCAATAATTATTCTTAATTCAAAGTATTCATTTCTACTATAATAACTTTTCAGTTAAATACTATTAAAAGTTTTGCATAATAACTAGTCATGTTGATTTTGCAATTTGTAAGCTTTATTGTCAAGAGTTTTATAAATATAAAATCATTCTGTATTCTATTATAACTGAAATTTATTTCTATAAGTAACATATTGCTTTATATTATATACTAAAACTTTATTATCAACTTTGAATTATGTAATTCTTTGTAATTTTGAGTTATATCTTTCTTTTATTTGCTATTACTATCTTTTTATTTGATTTTGTATTATATTAATATCATCTAATAAGTGACAGATTAAAGAAAATATTTAATTTAATATTTCATCTTCTTTATTTTCATTTTTTGCTATTGGTTATGAATATTTTAAATCAATAGATAATTGGATATTTTTTTATAGGTCAAAAAGAAAGATTTATATTTGATAATATTATATTGAAGTATACTATATGCAAATAATATTAATGATATATACATATTCTATTATTTATCTAATGCAATATAATATTTTTGAAGTATTCTACATAAAATTCTATTAAATTATTTTACTATTCTATTAGTTTGTGAATTATAGAGTAATAAAAACTTGTATTTAATTTCAAATTGAATGGTAAGTTCTTCAATTACTTGAACTATAAATTCAGTTTTCTGATTAGATTATAATTTTTTAGGATATCTATATCTACAAATTATTTCTTTAAAAATAAATTTGACAATTATATTAGCTTTTTTATTTGAAATTGCTTTTACTTCAGATTATTTAGTAAGTAATTCTATTGTTATAGCAATATATCAATTTTTTTCTTGATTATTTTGCAAGGACTAATAAGATTAATTATAATTCTGTTAAAAGATTATTTAATTTTAATAGGATATAAAGATTATTTTGTAATTTATTTATTAGTTCTTTGACAAGTTTCACAAGATCTAATAAAGTTCTTTATATCTGTTTCCATTCTATTTCACTAATATTTAATAATTATTCATTGATAAGTTCTATCAAATCCAAAGTATCTAGTAAATAAATCTAAATATATATTAGTTATTACTACTTCAATTTCATTTTTTTTAGTACTTGAAGTGGTATGATAGGTTCTTTTTTCTATTTTTTTTATAAAATATTCTATTAATAATTAAAAAATATTTTGATTACTGATGAATTTTCTTTTATTATTCTTCAGTATATTCTATAGGATAACTTTTATTTTTTAGATATCTTATTAAGTTATAATATATTATTAAATCTATTATATTGAGTTAATTAAATTTGAATAATTTATTTAATTAATTATTCAGTAAAAAGTTATTTCAAATAATTTATTAATCAAGTAAATTTGATATTCTATTTCTATAAATATATTCTAAAAAGAGTAT